CATATATCATGTTCTGCACATACTCTTCAACTTACAGTTTTTCATACCTTGAAGTATATTAAACCATATACAAAAAGGATCAGAAAGCTTGTCAAGTTTTTCAAATCTTCAAAACAAAGCCAACGACTAGACCAAGCACAAATTGACTTAGCTCAACGAAATAATGTTACTGCTACACCTGTTCAGTTGCATGGCTCTGAAAATTTAATTGAATTAGAAATGGAAGAAAATAATGAGTCAGAAAATGTAGACAAGGAATTTAAAGTCCTACGTACTATAAGTGAAGTAAAAACAAGATGGAATTCATCTTTTTTATCTTGGCAAAGGCTTCTTAAATTACACACAGCAATTGAATGGCTTTCCTCAACTTTACATTTACTAGAAGATGCTGGTGCAAAGGAAGATTCTCGAAAACTAAGTAATTATAAACTCAATGAAAATGAATGGGAATTATTAGAAGGATTAGTTATGTTGTTTAAGCCTTTTGATGAACTAACAACTTACTTCAGTGGAATTAAATACACTACTCTTTCAGTTGTTAACCCAAGTATAGAGACATTAAAATTTGAGTTTGCTGATGGTGATTTGTTGGACTCACATGAGTTGAACAAAATATTTAATGATAATGAAACTGAAAATCTTGGTTTTGATGAAGGTAATTATTTTTTGATTAAACCTTTTTTCTCAATTAAAAATTAATTTTTACCTTTTTCATATTTTAGATGAAATATCATCTGATGATGAAAGCTCTGGAAGTGACTCAAGAAACATAAAACAATTAAGAGCTCCATCTTCACAACAAATAATTTCCAAAGTTAAGGGGATCATTTATAGCTCGCTCTGGAATTATTGGAATGATTCAGAAAAGATTGGGCTAATGGCTACTTTATTAGACCCAAGATTGAAATTAATGGAAGTATGGTCAAATGAAACAAGAGAACAAGCAATCCAAGAACTACATACCGAATTCAATACTTGGCAAATCAAAGTTGCAATTGATGATTCTTTAGAAGAAATTCCTTCTTCATCCACACCTTCCTTTATGAAAAGAGTATTTTGTCATAGCCAAAGAAAAGTGAACCATGAGATTGAAATAGATAATTATTTAAACGAAATGGTAACTCCAACACAACCTGAAGGAATTGATGTTTATCAATGGTGGAATAACAATCAAAATTCTTTTCCTATTCTTAGTAGAATTGCACGCAAATATTTATCAATACCTGCCACTTCTGTTCCATGTGAACGTCTTTTTTCTGATGCAGGGAATTTAGTTACCTCTAAAAGAACACGTTTAGGACATGAAGTAGTAAATCAGTTATTATTTGTAAAGAGAAATAGTTTATATTGTAAAGTTTGGAATTAATAATTATTTTTTATCATTTATGTAAATTAAATCCATATATAGAAAGATCTGTTCACTACCCAGTTGACCCGCGGGTCACCTGGGTGAAGTTTTTTTAGATGGGTCCAATCTCTATGAATTGTATCAATTTCATCCTTGCAATTGGTAAAAACTGCATCCAAGACTTTTGGTAGGTTTCCAATCTCCTTGTTTGTATAGTTTTCACAAAGTTTCAGTTTGTAAAAGCATGTTTCCGCTTTTGGCAAATTTTGAAATTCATTATTATTTCATTTAAACCAATTGATCTAAAAATAATAAAATAAACTTAGCCAAAATATCCTTAATTGAAATAATGACCAAATATATTATTACTGCTACCTTAATTTTATTCTTAATTGGTATATTAATACCTCCAGTGATATATTTCAACACATTTTGACATTCCAAGGAACCTTTCAATTCCTTTATATATATAAAGAATTTTAAGTAAATTGAATCACGTTGAGATATGGGAGCTCCATTTTTGTCATAAAGGCTTTCTTCAATTTCAGGAATATTAAATTGTTCGTAAAGTTCTGCATTAGTATTTACAACTTTGTACAAACCACCACTTAATTTATTCCAACCACCTAATTCTCTGATATGCTATACAACAAATAATAATAATATAAAAAAATCAAAGGTATATTCTAATAACAGTCAAACGATATGTCACAGGAAGTGTAATTACATATATAAAATAGAAAATCCGACTCGTGTAACAAATCAGT